GCCAAGGTAAGATTTTTAATTTATTTCCCCTCTTATAATTTTCGGGATTATTTCTCTGCTACTCGCATACATTTATTTGCCCAGTTATGATGGTTTTTTCTGATATGTTTGTTTTCTGGCAAGTGGATGTCCTTATTTTTTGGCCCATGCTTATTATTTTCAGTGATATAATATATGGGTTTGTTTTATTAATTGGCTAGGTGTGGCCTAGGGATGGAAATTTGTATAACTGTTCCATGATGCCCTTTTCTTATATGCAAATGAGAGGAAGCCTTTTATCTGTGAATTATTATTGTCTAGCACATGCCTCTAGTCACTCACAGAAATAGCCATAAAAATGAATATGGCAGTTGCTGGCTCTTTCATGATTTTCTTCTTCTTTTTTAAATTATCCTTTTTATTTAAAAGATAATAAGATCCTTAATTTTCTGTTGCTAGCTAATTGAAAGATCTCGTACTGACTTAGTGACGAATCTCCTTTTTTAGGCTAAATATCATGGTAAAGAACATCAAATTTCTATGTTTAAGACTGCTCTGCAATTTTCTAACTTCCATCTTTTTCTTTCTACTTTAGAGAATCTAGAACTGGTTCTGGTGCAGTAGTCGGATGGCCACCTATTCGATCATTTAGGAAGAATCTTGCTAGTAGTTCTTCCAAACCGCCGCCAATTGAATCTCAGAATGGAGGTTCTGAAACCGAAGCAAAGACTGAAATTTGCAAAAAGAGCTCCTTTGTAAAAATCAACATGGACGGGATCCCCATTGGAAGAAAAGTGGACTTGAGCGCCTATGATAGCTATGAGAAACTCTGTTCTGCTGTAGGAGAACTCTTTCAAGGACTTCTTGCAGGTATACTATTAACAATCTTACCAAGTTTTTAGGTGCTCTTCAGATTAAAAGTAGTATAGTTTGTGATTTTTGTGTTTTCACTGATTCTCGAGGATTTTTACGGGTTTTCTCCTTTTGTTCAGCTCAAAAGGATCCTGCTATTGCTGGAGGTCAAGTTACTGCTGAACAGAAAAAGGCATTTACAGGGTTATTGGATGGAACTGGTGATTATACTTTGGTTTATGAAGATGATGAAGGGGACAGGATGCTTGTTGGGGATGTTTCATGGGAGTAAGCTTCTCGCCCTCGCCCAGATTAGTTTGTCTTGACGACTGCAAGCAACTTTTTCTATCTTTATTGTATACAAAATTTGTCACTTGTATGATATAGCGTATATCCAGAACTATAGATCAAACGTGGAGCAAATTTTCAGGAATAGGTGCAACCCCCTCTTGACACAATGTTCCTTAAATTACGAGTAGTTGACCTCTTGGAAGCTTAGGATTCTAGAAAAAAACAACTAGATGCCTATGATTATGGTATAATATCTTATGATTTTGGATAAGGAGGCAAACCATAGTGGGCTTAAATTTAGTTAATACTTAATAAGTGAAATTTAACAATGGTTGGTCTTCATTAGTGGCAAGCTTAATTCTTAATTGATTTATATTCTGACCACTATGCTTTGTCTTCCCTTTACCTGCTGAGCGAGTGGAAACTTGAGAAGTTGGTGATCTCATGTTATGTTGACTACCAGACATCCCTTCCCATTAAAGCTGAAGTAAGCAAGCGTGCAATTTTTACTTGATTGCTCAACTAACGACTAATTAATTATTAAGGAAGCACTATTCGATTATTGACGAATTTGAACCATTGATGTGATGGTTATTATGTTGTACTTAAGGGAAGCAAGAAAATCAATCATAAGAAACAAAGTATTAGGTGGAATTCCCTGTAATCGTCTTAATCAATCGGTAGTAAGTTTCTCTTCACAAAGTTTATGGTCCTACCTAGTTAGAGCTTAATCGTCTTACTTTATTACTTTACAATTTGCCAGTATAGTTGCTCTCATTTTTCTATCTTGCTCTTCATATGCAATTTCTACCTGCTTACTGTTTTTTAAATGGTTATTTACTGTAAACGTATCGAAAAAGATTCATTTATATTCATATGTTTCAATTTTTCTTACAATTTCAGCATGTTTGTTTCTACTGCCAAGAGATTGAGGGTGCTGAAGAGATCTGAGCTTTCAACAGCTGTACGTTGTGACTATTTCCTTTGTCATAAACTATTACGTTGTTACTCTATTATATAGCATCCACTTGCAATCAAGTGAACCCATTGCTCATTATGGTTACAAGTTCATTATGGCATAAATTAACTAATTTTATTTTCCATTTTTTTTCCTTCAGTTGGGAACGACCAGCAGGAAAAGAACAGCAACTGCGTGCTGAACTGAGTGAATTCTGGATTATGAATTAGACAACACTTCCCTTCTAGTGTAAGATCTGTGAGTAGCAACTTGATGGTTTTTACTTACCCTCCTTCACCTCGAAGACTTGAGGTCGAGTTTCGAGCTATTCCCTTTAGGTTTGTAGACGTGAATTTTATTGACCGAGACTAAATTAGCAGAATAGTGGAATTATATGTAAAATGTAAATCAGCTCATGGTCTTTTGGGTTGTACTGGTGTTGTATGGTGTATGTCATGAAAACCTTGGTTTCATATTTTGATGATGGTTTGTTTATTATTTTGTTTTTCTCCAAATGTGTATAGGTCAGAAATTTGTGCGAGTGAGCCTAACTGCACAGCTGTATCTTGATGAATCTAGTGCCCAACCTTGACAACTTGTGCATGTGTTTTGAACAGCTAAGCACATTATCTCTGTATCTGGAGGGGTAAAAGTCTTACAGCTCTCAGGTTATCTATCAGTTACTAGAACAAATGAATTCTGTCACTATTCTTTCATCTGGTTTGGTTTTAGTCTACAGCGTTCAGATTTCCTTATATAACATAAGGATGTCGTAATACCGAGTTTAATCAAATTTGAGAATCAAATATTGTTCATATAAGTCAACACGCTCTCTTAAATAAGACCAGGCTTGCCAAAGTAAGGGAAAAAATGCGTGGCTCTCTTAAATAAGACCAAGCTTGCGAAAGTAAGGGAAAACGTGTGGCGCAAATTCGCGGCAAAAAAGCAGGGCGGAAAAACAGAAATTCAAATTGAAATTCAACTGAAACAGAGAATCGTTCTACTCAATTCACATGGATCTCAACCTATTTGAAGCCTTGAACCACTTCAAGAAATGCTTTGTCATAATCCAGGTGCTAGCAGTTGTGAACAAGAGGAATAATCTTGGGTGCTAGTTCTAGGGACAAAGCAACAGTCTCTTTCAAATATTGAGCCAGGCCTAACTCCAGACACCAACCAAACACCAAACGAATTTAAGTAGGATACGTAAGAATAATATGCACTGTTTGGTTGCTCTCCTCGTGTCGGCTAATCTTATCTCTTCCTCTTTAAGAGGGGACCATTAACTCTCCAGTCTTTTTTACATGGAATATAAATGTTTCACATTAAGCAGGTCAAAGATTGCAAAACGGAAAACCCAAGATATATTTACAAGTAGAAAAAACATCCATGGCATGATCCCAAAGTTTGAAGGGTAACCTACCTTTTGGGGCCAAACTGCTCCCTTTACGTGAACTTTAGGCTGTGAGCCTCAAAAGAAGGGTTAATGTGTATAAAATAACAAGTACTGGGTACAATGTTAGGACCCTAGAGCTGGGGGTAGTGGCATAATTTTTCCCACACCTTCACCTTTTGGCATCAAAAGACGAAGGTCACAATCATGTCGGTCAAATCCAAACGCAAAAGGCTCAGTGGAGTTTTGAATTTGTAGACCGAGACCTCAATAGAATCTTATATAAGAGGCACGAGAAATTGATAAAACTTGCACTGGATTTTGCGAGGAAAAGAAAGTTTTGAGTGCAGAGAGGTTTTATTACAGACGTTATTTGAAAAGCCTTGAATAAAAAAACCTTCCAATTTAAGAGCCCGGTGAGGAAAGACTCGACGACCGTCGTTATCTGAAGACTAATTTTAGTGTTCTTTCAACCTCATGCGACTGTATGATTACAAATAAGCTTGTGGATTCATTGTACCTCTGGATAGATCTTTCCAAAAGTAATAGAAGATACAGTTGCAGCCAGTGCTTTTTGCGTATGGAAGCATTACACCTTCACCTGTTTTACCTGTAAGAGACTGACATGTAATAAGAAGTGAACATTATGTCCCTACTTGATATGTAAAGATTTGGCTAATGAAGCAATTGGTCAAACTGATTAAAAAAAAAAAAAACGTTGTCGATACTCTATCTGTTAGACCGGGGTTGAATAGGGTAATGCTAATCTAATTCTTATTTTATGTCAATTAAAAAACTTTCTTGATGAATTAATTCTTGCAGAAGATATGATATATGGATGAGTTATGAGCAAGAATGAAAATTACAAGCACAAAATAAATATACACAAAGCAAACTCAAATACAATAATATGATCACGGAGTTCGGTCTTTCCGACCTATGTTTCCGCTCCCCACTCTCGGGAGAATCCACTATCACGACGGGTTTTCGACGTTCACCCAAAACGTTCACAATTAGTTTTCAACGCTCATCGACAAATGTTTACAACACACACAAAATAAACACACTCTACACCCTCTAATTGTTGGCCTAGCCCGTGTCGCCTTCCTCAAGTGTTCGGAATTACAACCTCTCATTAGGCTTTACTACCGACCCCACTCCTCTTGGAACCGACCCTGTCTCTCACCACATGCTCCTCTCGGTGTGCAAGCGTAATACAACGTGTAACTCACAATTAAGGCTCAAATACAAATGATTTGTTCTCTATAATAGATGGGAACACAATGTAAGCTCACTCTCACAATATCACAATCCCACAACCCAATATATAATGCATGAAATTCTAAAAGCTCAAATAGAGATGTGTGTGATAAAATGAGTTCAATAAAATCTAACTCAAATAGCAAACTAGCAATAGTAGGAATATGAAAAATTAGTAATAAAATGCTAGATAAATGAGTTAGAAAAACTTCTCTCTAAACACAAAGAAAGGATGAGAGTGATTGAGGATGAATTCCTCAATTGACAACGTAAGCTTCATCTTTGTAAATAAACACCAAAACTTAAGAAGAAACTTAAACAAACTTTTAAACCCTTTAAAACTCTTGTTAAAACCCACTTAGATAATTTTTAGAAGTGAAACAGTAAGGGGTATTTATAGGATGAAAATCAAAGCCCAAAAACTAAGAAAACCTAGCAAAAAGACAAAAATACAAAAAACTGAAAAAACTAGCCGTTACAGGCGTCGGTCGACTGATACTGTTTATCAGTCGACTGATGAGCTGACCGTTACAGGCAACTCGTAGCTCATCGGTCGACTGATAATCTCATTAGTCAACTGATAACCTCATCAGTTGATGATAGTTTATCAGTCGTAAAAACAAAAACTTTTGGTAATTCCATGCGAGTTCATTAGTCGACTGATAAGGATCATCAGTCGACTGATAACAGGTTTTTAGCCTGTTATGAATAGTAAAAACGAATTTCAAATCTCTTTTAAAAATAAAAAATAAATTCTAAAAAATGTAAAACTTTGAAAAAAGTTTATAAACATGAATATGAACATGTTGAAAAAGGAATTTTTCAAATTGCTCTTACCATTTGTAAAAACTCAGTAATATTCAAAAACACTAAAATACATGTGTACATAAACATATTAATTTTGATATTTAGCTCAAATCAAGTTTTGAAAACTTGTGTAATGTTTTTATGGACTCAATAAAAGATGTTTATAATGTTTGTATAGTCCAAAGCATGTTAAAATATAATGTTTTTATGGACTCAATAAAAGATGTTTATAATGTTTGTATAGTCCAAAGCATGTTAAAATATATTTTGCATAAAAACACCTATGATATGTTTGTATAGTCCAAAGCATGTTAAAATATATTTTGCATAAAAACACCTATGATTTGAGAAATTTCATAGACAAATGTGTGTGTAAATTTTGAGCTTGAAGAATTAGCAGACATTACATATAAACCTATACTAAGTATACCAAGAGGATGTCATATGAAGCTTGAACTTGATAGACTTGATTTGCACGGGCTTGATAGACTTGATTTGCAAGGCTTCAATATCAGTGTAGCTCCTTTTCCTGGGTATACTAAACAACACAAAACCAAAATACTAAAACCAATATTAGTCGTAAATTGTTTGTTGAATTATCATCAAAACAAGAAGGCCAACACAATCAAGTGAAATTGCAGTGAATACTACAAGCCACGGTATTTGTAAAAAATAATACTGAAGTAAATGTTGAACAGCACAGTCTGAAGTTAAAGGAAGGTTGATTATTAATAGGCTATGATAAAGAAAAATGAAACAAAAGAATGATATGTTGACCAAGGGATAGTTTCTTTCAATCGTAGTAGATAAGACTCAAACGATACAGAATAGGAAGCTGTATTATTATACACAGGCTATGATAAAGAAAAACCGAACAAAATAATGACATGTTGACAGGGAATAGTTTGTTTAAATCGTAGCAGAGGAGACTCAAACCATACAGAATCCAAAGTTCTATTATACACTCTCATATACTTCCCTAACAACTATGAAAGGTGAGGTTCCTAATGGAAGTTCTTCTTCACAGGCAGAATGTGGTCAAACACTGAATAGGGAATCAATTTATGTATCCATCAAAATAAGATTTCATTATAAATTATTCTAAAAGGCTGAGAGGTCAATATAAGATTTCATAATAAGCAAATAGAAAATGCAGGGGCAGGTTTTACTTGAATTGGCTTGAAGAGCGAGCTAAAATACAAACTTAAAAAAAGAAAAAGAAAAAATACATGGATTGTCAAACAAATTGAAACGAGTAACATTGGTATGCCAGAGTAAATATTGAAATTTAGTTTACCGAAAAAGAGAACTATTTTCAAGGTGTTTCTTTCATCAGTTTATGGTTTTCACAGGTTAGATGTGAAATAGAAATTCCATGAAGAGCTGAGAAGCATATTCATGGCATTTCAGTTATATGGCTTATTGGCAACAAAATTTGCGTTCAAAGAAGAGATGAAAATGAGTAAAAGATCAGAAGATATGTTTCAATAAAATAATTTTTTTTGCAGCCAATCTGTATAATTACCAATAAAAATGGATGCATGAGAGGTTTACGTACATAAACCATTAATAATGTGGACTATTCCGAGTGACGAGTACAAAAAGAGAAATGCTAGAGGCCCCCTGCTTTCAACATCCAAGACTTGAAACCATGTACTTTTTTTGCAGGATGGAACCTCATAAGTCTTTTGCATCTTATTTGGGTGTTGAAATTGGGCTCTAAGGCATTAATCACACAAGAAATAGTGGGTGCATTGATTAATTTAATATGCATAGCATAACCAGGAAATATATCCGAGTCCAAAGTTCATGTAGGTGGGAGGGGTGTCATATACAAGAGCAATAGCGTATCTAAGCATTTGGGGGTACTTCAAAAAGGTAGTAATTTGGCAAGAGTTTTTATAAATAAGCACCTAAGTTCCATGATGCTAATTAGGTAAGGGATTTTTCTGTGGTACGATGAAATGCTGTAATATATTAAACCAAGCCATAAATGAACATCTTTCATATCCATAGATGGAGATTTTCCGTTGACGATAGAACTAAAAATTGCATTCTGTTATGATACCAAAATCCTGAAATGAGCACTCGGTTACTCATTATACTCTTCGGAAGTTGAAGATCCTGTGGACTTGAAACTATGTGGTCATGACCCCAGAAGCCAGATTTGACAAAGAATGATATTTAATACTTTAATAGTTATTATAATTGAAATACTTAGTTGAATAGATCAATATATCCTCTGCAATGTGCTCTTGGAACAACAAATTTGTTGAAAAAATCAGATATTTTCAAGAAACGAGCACTAGACTAAAGATAAAGACAACTTCACCACTGACATATATTAAAAGTATCGAAGAGGTAACTGAGGTGCTTATAGAAGTAAAACATAAAGTGGGGAGAATCCTTGAAATAACATGTTAGAGTATATTCAAAAGAAATTACCATGTTAAAGATATGAATATCAGCCATATGCTAAGCATGATTTCAGAAAGGGTATTAGAATTGGTCAAACAACCCAAGTGAAATGGATGAAAATAATCCACCAAAAATATAAATTCTAGAACCTTCAAGTGCAGGTTAGTTACCAATCCTAAGATACTGAATAGGCTTTCGCTTGAGATAGTTACTGAAACATGGCACCCTATTTGGTTAACTTCACGCCCTGCATAATTTACAATCGATAAGAGATATATATATATATCTGGTGGTTGAAATCCAAAAGTGTAAAACTGAACCATTTGGGGGCAGAAAGGATAAACACAAACACTGAAAAGAGGAAACATGGATGATATATGGCTGGAAAAAAGCAATGGTGACAAAGTGCAATGCATATTAACATGCTGAAGATATTACCAGTTTATATCAGATGAAGAGGAATATGGCCATCATTTATCCAGGAAAATATGACAAACTGGCTGATACATTGTGAAAAGCGTGTTTGCATGTTTAAGTAATTCGAAACAGCAAAAGGTAAGATATGTTCAAACAATTTTATTTGAGCAAAATTTGATGCATTTAATACCAAATATGTAATACAAATAGAAAAAGTGAATCAATTTTCATATGATATAATAAATAAAATAAGATATTTGAAACCAATAGAAAATAAGTAATTGGAGCTCATGACCTTTTCGTAAATGCTCTACTCCACTAACAATGGTTGGAGCAATTCAACTGAAAGATTACAGCTCTAGATTTGCAGAATAACAGAGCCCTATTTGCAGAAGAACAGGTGCCAAAAGGTAAAATTCCACAAACATTGCAATTAAAACATCTCATAATTTTTTGAAGGCTGAAAATATTGACCCATTCGATGGGGATCTGAATACAAACCTGAAAGTGCTAATATCGATCATCAGCTGCATAAAATTAACCAAATGTATACACAGCTAAAACTATTCGAATATCCTTAATATATCGTCCCTTACTTGATCTGTCCAGAAAGAAATCTCCAGATTAGTCTCAACATTTATTTGCATGAAATTCTTATTACATGACAATATAGCTGGTTACTTATTAATATACCGTAAATCCACTATCATGAAAAGCTAAAGGGACTAACAACTGGCCTTGCATAAAACGTAACTGAGTCCAAAGGAGCTAATTCTGAGTTTTTTCGTTCATCCTATATTCTCATTTCTAGGGCATTTCACTAACCATAAACAAATAGCGGTTTCACACTCTTTATGAAAAGTACAATAGTGTCCGCAGATGGAAGTATAAAGGGTCCCAAAAATGCTTTTTGCACTAAATATTTCTATAATCCACCAAGTTACTCGGGAAAACATCCATTAACCGTAAGTTTAAGATAACAACAGAATTTTGGAGTGGGTTCTTTTTTTTGGGGGGTGGGGGGGCACTACAGTACAAGATCACCATACTGGAATACATCACCATCAGTTATCATCCCTCTCTCCAAGTCATATTGATTATTGATGCAAAATTAGTCGATGGAATGTAACTTGTGAAACATTTTGGAGAAAAGGTGGAAGAAACTATTCAACACCAAATATGAAATCACCAGCAACAAAAATAAATTGATTTTACCTACCGATCAACAAAAAGTAGATTACTCATTCTTCAAATATCAAGCAAGAACATCGAGGTCCATCGATGGAAAAAGTACTCAGGGATAATGCAAGAAGGAATACTAAATGAGGACAGCTGAATAAAGAGTAATAATTAAAAAAAATACGGTTTCAATTTGCACATGTTGAATCGAAATGAATCACAACATGCTATTGTAGGCTGCATTCAATCCTTTTCTTCCTAATCTATTAAAATCTCCACACACGAGGCAATAGAGGGATGATGGTTGTAGACTATTAATTACAGAGTTGATGCAAAGTCTTCTTTTGACAACTGGATCATTTTTAAGAATAAAACAGTTTTATTATGAAAAGAGAATGCCCACAATGATTGTTGGTCTTCAGTCTAACCAATATAAAAATAACTCCTCGTAACCTTGATTTATCTAATATCAGAGCATGATATACATTACAACAAAGGACCTATGAGCTTAAGAAAACAAAGAACTATAGAAAAAAAAGATGAAAATTAGATTAAAGAAATGGTCCAAAATTGTTAAAATAATAAAATTGACAACATATCTCACTGTGGAGCAGCACTTGACTACACGGCACCGGTACGGCTATTATTCCCAACCAAATGGTAAAGCAACACACCAGCAGCCACACTAACATTTAAGCTCTCAACAGCAAGGAAAGACTTCATCTCTTGTCCCTTACCGCTCTGATCTGTTTCCTCCATTTCAAATTCATTATCCCCTGCACTTTCATCCATAGATACACTCCCGGGGATTCTAACTAATTCAGTACAAGATCTCTCCACTAGAGGCCTCAACCCGCTTCCTTCACTGCCCAACACAAGAATTGTAGGCACCCTATCTTCAACTTCACATAAGGGACGAGCTTTAGAAGAAACAGACCCTCCAAGAACCCGCCACCCATTCTCAATTGATGACGATAAGAACTGCATCATGTTTTTACAAGACCTCAGCTCGATCAATTCAAGAGAGCCCGCACTGGCTTTGCTTACAACTCCACTCAAAGGAGCGGAGTTCTTTGCACATAAAACAACCCCATCTACTCCAAAAAAGTACGATGACCTAACAATTGCACCCAAATTTTGAGGATCTGTAACTTCATCTAGGGCCACCCAAACTGGAGCTTTTCGACCCTCCACAGATACAGGCTCTAGTTCCTTAACATTTACCAGCTCTAATGATGAAGCATCGAGCACCAGACCTTGGTGAGGCCTACTATCTACTATCATGTTGAGATCATGCTTTGAGGTTTCAATAACCTTCAACCCTAGCTTTTCTGCTAACTTTAACACCTTCTCCACTGCTTTCTTGTCTTTCTTCTTCCTATTGTTTCCACTCAAGTCCAATCCTTCTTGAACATACAAAGCATAAAATTCTCTTCTTTCCACCGTCAATGCTGCTAAAACCGGCCCGACACCATAAACAGCTTGCCCTACCATTTTCGGTATTGACGATTCCTTTGCTTCTTTCCAAACATTTCTACCCCAGTTCTCCTGCTTACTCCAATTCCGAACCTCAGGTTTCTCGAATCTTGGCTCTCTATCGACAGAGCCTTTGTATTTTCTCCTAATTCCATCCCATCTCGGATCATCAATTGGCTCAGCATCCTGCAGTTCCTCCATCGGTTTTTCTTCATAAAGGTCTCTTCTTCTTACTCTCGCCTCCCTGTTTCGGCCATTACTGGGTATAGATGAAGATCTCTCGTTTTTATCTTTAATTTCTGTTCTCTCATTCAATGAATCTCCCCCATTTCTCGAAAGATAATTCTCTGCCGAATCGACCCATGAAGAGCGACTGGTCTTAACAGCACCCCTCTTCTCTTCCCTCCTCCCTTCTTTGTCTTTGTACCCTGCTATCCAAGGAAGCCGCTTTCTTCCCTTATCTCTAACACTACTCTCTGCAGTAGAGAAACCCCTATTTCCCATCGAGAAATTCTTGAATTTCAATCTACTACTGCTGATTTCTAGGGTTTTTTGAAGAAACCCAGTTGAGAAATTTCTAGGTTTAGGGTTGAAACTAAAAGTTGAGATTTTGGGTCTTGATACGGCATCATTTCTTAGGGTTTTTGGATGAAATTGAATGGCGAGAGATGAGGGATCGAATCCGTTACCTTTTGAGCATTTGGGTCGGATGGAAACCCTAGAAAATAGAGGGATTGCTGGGCTTCTGGCGAGATTTGAACAGTACATGGTAGTGGAGCTGAGAAGAGTGAGAGAAAGAATCGAGCGGGAGGCGCCGAGATGATGAAAATTAGGGTTCCTCTTTATTAAATGGATCCGAATGTTCGGGTCGGATCCAATTGGATCCAATTAGAAAACTAACGGTCATATTTAGAGGTGCGCATTACAAATTGAGCTGATTGAAATGTAAATTGTATGAGTGAAAGAAAGGAATTTGTATGAAAATTTAGACTTTCATTCTCAATTTTCTTGGTAACAGGGTAAACATTGGGAAAGAGACTGCATTTACTGTTTAATTTAATTCACCAACGGGGTGTTTGTTTTACCAAAAGAAAAATTCTTTAAGGACCCAAAATATGGGACCAATAGGGGGGATAAGTGAGGTGTCCCCCTCTTATTGGATAATGAGTTGACCATCATTAATGATGGCCAACTCATTATCCAATAAGAGGGGGACACCTCACTTGTCTCCTTTATTGGTCCAATATTTTGGGTCCCTGTAGCAAAGCTCTTACAAAAAACTTTGGTATTTGGTATGAATTACAAGTTTTGGGATCAAAAAGTGAGTTTTTTTGTGTTTTGGGATTCCATACATGGTGTTTGTTTTAAGAAATTTTTTAGAATATTGAATCCCAAAAGTACAAAAAGTGCCTAATTTTTAGAATTTGTCAAATCCTCTTAATTGGAGATGATTTTGACAAATCCCATAAATGTGTGTATTTACCCCACAATTGGAGAGAATTTGACAAATTCAAATTTTGATTTTTTGTGGGAGGTAACCTCACCAGGATATCATATTCATCATATTACAAAATTTTAGCATTTGATAATGCTACAATTTGAGCTTGAAACAAACAAAGTATTATAAATTGTAGTATTCCAAATTCCAAAATATTAATGAAACAAACACCATTTTAGAAATCCCAACCTATAACAAAACACCTATGGATTGCAAATCCCATGGTGAAATCCATATCCTCTAAATTATAAGATTTGAAACAAACACCCCCTAAAAGTTTATCTCATAGATCTACTTTTGATCATTTTATTCGATCTTATGTTTTAAATTCTTATCGATGTGTTTCACACGTGGAAAAATTGACATTCTGGTATGGGGATTTCCAACAATATAGTAGCATAATATTTGACACAGTTATTCTGGTAGCATTCAGCTTATTCGAATAATAAGCAATTAAGTCAATATCCAAATTTGCAAAAATAGGGAGGGAATCTCTCTTTTTCTCACTTCAAAATGAGACTACTCGCAATATTTATTCACTTGGAACCAGAGCCGAGTAGATTCATACCCAAGTAGGACCAATTATTATTATTATTAGGTGTTTGGTTGCATTGTTTTTGAGAAATGTTTTCTCAAAAAGTACAAACAATGGCATTTCTGTAATTAAGAGTTTTCTATAGATTTCCACAAACTGTGTTTGGCTCAAAAAAGATTTACAGAAATGTTTTCCGTAAAGTATAGAAAAGTACCAAAATTTATAGAAATTGATTTCCTTCTAAAATGGACGGAAATCTCTTGGAAATCTGACGCATTCATTATTTAAATAATAAAACTCATTAACACTTTTCTATAAAGTTCTCACTTTTCTATAAAGTTGGTGATGTTTGGTTACATTTCTATAAATTATAGGAAATGTTGCTATTTTCCCAAAAGTTATGAGTCATTTTCTTGTTTTGAACCAAACAAGCACAATACAAAAAATAAGAAAATTTGTACTTTTTAACTTCTCAAAACTTTTCCTATAATTATTTTAAGAAATACAAGGAAATCAAATTTTGGATGGAAAACATTTCCTATAATTTATAGAAATGTAACCAAACACCCCCTTAGAGTAAAGATGCGGAGTCGAAGTTAGTAATTTCATCAAGGCTAAGCGATAAGTTTACAGTATGAGCAAGTCTACTCTACAAAACACCTGATGAGTTTCAAAATAAGAATAGCCTCAATATTGCTACTAATTCAGATTTCTAAGCAATTTTTTCATGTTGCTATTTTGTTGGCCCAAAATCTGGCCCATTACCAAAAGGCTCAGTCCCCCCTGATATTTGTTTCAGCCTATCTCTAAACCTTTCACCTCCTACCCAATGTACTGAACCCTAAGTCGGCAGCCCCTTCCATCCTTGTGTCCTGTTGGCTGCCGCTATGAGTCCCATCTCTCATCCCTGTAGGTCGGCTCCTACCATTCGAAACCCTAGGTCTTTTCTCTACCGTGTCGGCTGCCACCTTCGCTATTTAAGTCGAAGAGGTGGTAGTAGCTCGGTAGAGAAGAAGAGGAGAGCGACAGTGAAGAAGACCCTGAGCTTTGTGCTCTCCTCTGATATGTGCAATTCATCATCTCCCTTCCAAAGCTTTGTGCTTTCACCCTTTGTGAGGTGAGTGGAGAGACAGTGGAATAGTTGCTTTCCCCCTTTTGTGTTCTTGGTGGTGCACAAGAGAAGAAGAACGGACTGGTTGGCTAGGCTTCTGAGCCAAACTTGTGACGATGTCGATCCTCAACAGTAGTATTGGAGCTAGGTGAGTCGTCGCTGTTCAAAACCGCCGATCGCCGCCACTAGGCTTCGTTGATTCGTCGCCGCATGACCGTCACCGGACCACCGCAGGAACGCCACCGGACCGCCGCGTGGGTAAGGTCGAAACTCTCTACAGTGGGTTTCGCTCAGGTAATCTCTGGTTTTGTTGAAAATTATAGTAAATTGGTATCTCTGGCCTTGTTGAAAAAAATTTCAGAAACTAAACTTAGTTCGTGCGAAAGAACAAAGGGTCTGAACCCAAGCTTCGTGCTCATCGTTATTTCCACTTTGTGTGTGCTAGTTGCTTCACACACTTTGAGCCTTATAAATTTTGAATTTTTTTTCTAGCTATATTTGCATTTTATTTTTCTGGAAAATTTATCTGTTATTGTTTCTGCTCGTGCTAGTTGCGGTGATACCATTGCTTATTTTTCTGTATGAAGAATGTCTGCTGCTAATCAATATGGTATGATTCAATATGGTATGGTTCCGTTTAACGAAAAATTTGATTTTAGCATTTGGAAACAAAAAATAAAATACATTTTAATTCAACAGAAATCTTTTAGGCATGTTGGTCAGACTTGTTTGACTTCTGATACTGACGAAAAAAGGACTGAAATGAACGAAAATGCTTGTTCCATAATTTATTTGAACTTATCTGACTCTGTGCTTAGAAAAGTTGGAATTTTAGAATCTGCTAAAACCCTTTGGGATAAACTTGAAGAACTCTATACTAAAACCCCTTTGCCCAGTAAAATATTTTTACTTGAAATTTTTTTCAAATTTAGATTGGATATGTCTAAGGACATTGAGAAGAACCTAGATGTTTTCACAAAACCTATTTCAGATATTAAGTTAACTGGTGATAAACATACAGACGACTATACTCCTATTACCCTTCTAAATGCTATTCCTGACTCATATAGTGATGTTAAATCTGCTATTAAATATGGTAGAGATGAGGTTACCCTTGACATTGTGGTCAATGGTCTTAAGAGTAAGAAATTAGATTTAAAACATTCTGGGGGAAATAAAAATTCTGGTGAGGTTATGCATGTGAGGGGTGTTGACTATCATATCTCCATGATAGTGTTTTGATGATAACAATCTATATTGTGTGTGCACTAACTTTCATATGCAGATTTCAATATCAGAATATGTACAAGTGCAAGTGGATATCAAGGCATTTTGAAGTGAAGAAAATGAAGAACAAAAGATAATGTAATTTGATTTTTCTTTACTTAGAATTTTTGTACAAGCCTTTATTACACACACGCACACACCCGCAATTTTAGAACATACTAACACAGGCTTAGTGTGTTGGTTAACTATAGAAATCCCCTATGTTAACCATTAGAATAGTAGTTAAAACTTAATTATAAAAACTCTTTTTTACTGAATTTTTGACCTTAGTAGTCGACTAATTAGAATAGTAGTCGACTACTCATGTATAGAACTCAAATACATGTTTCTGTCAATTTACAGTATAGTCGACTAATAGAGATTATAGTCGACTACTGAGATGTTTGACAGAAACATAAGTTTCTGTCTTTTTACAGTGTAGTCGACTAATGACTACAGTAGTCGACTACTGAAGAAAAATATAAATTTTCAAGTTTCTGTCTGAACTCAGTGTAGTCGACTAATTATCATTATAGTTATTTGTTCAGAAAAATGGCATAGGCATACATACCCATAAGCTTTGATCTTTGTGCAATTTTTCAAGTGAAAAATATTCTGATTTTCTGAAAAAGAGGAGTTTCAGAAATTGCCTATATACTTTCATCAAAAACAAATCATTAGGCAATTCTACAGAAATTAAAAGTATCCTAAGCCACTGCTGCACTTCAATACACATTCAAGGCTTATAGGATCATTGTGTTCTTGCTATAACAAGTTTTCTCTCGGTTGTGAGAGGGTTAATCTCTTGGCTTAGAGATTGGGGTTCAAATTGGCAAGGAGTTTGCCAATTGGTGTTGCAATTTGCAGGGACTTGCAAATTGATCAGGTTTACGTTTGATTTTGTATGTTTATTCAAAATCATAGTGGAAACTCTCAAGCGGGATTTACTTGGGGACTGGATGTACACCGGATTGGTGGAACCAGTATAAAATCCTTATGTTTGTTTTTGCAAATTTCTGAGATTACCATTTTTCTTTGCAATTTATTATCTACTTTGCAATAATTTTAAAAGAATACTATTCACCCCTCCTCTAGTGTTCTAGTGTATCTATTTCAGATCCTACATTTGGTATCAGAGCAAGGTGAAAGATGGCATCGTCAAATACATCACAATTCAAGGAAGGCCACTCTACAAATCGTCCTCCAATGTTCGATGGTTTGAACTACAACTATTGGAAGTGTCGAATGAAGATATACCTTCAATCAATTGGCTACGAACTTTGGAACGTCGTCGAAACGAAATATGAGAAGCCAACCACTCCTTTCACGGAATGGACTACATCTCAAAGGAACAATGCAAATTATGCCTTATTTGGTGCACTTGACAAGAATGAGTTCAATAGGGTGTCAACGGCCACATC